TATATTATGGTCACTATCCCCAAGCGGTCCTGTAATGGTTATATCCTGGACCTGATCCTGCACTCCACTCAGGACTAAATCGAGAATTGCCTCTCCCCTTGTGGGTTCCTGCACTAGCTGCTCCAAGAAGCAGTCATTTAAGCCATTGAGAAATTTTATCTCTGCTTCTCTTCCTGAGGTGACATGTATCCAGTCAATATGGGGGTAATTAAAATCCCCTATTATTATAGAGTTTTCTATTTTGGTAGCCGCTCTAATCTCCCTCAGCAGTTCTATGTCAGTATCGCTGTCCTGGTCAGGTGGTCGGTAATATATCCCTACTGCTAATTTCTTATTATTGGAGCATGGAATTTGTATCCATAGCGATTCTATGGAACATGTTGATTCACTTAATATTTTTATTTCATTTTTTTTTTCTCCATTTGATTCTACAAATGAAATACCCTGTACTATAGTGACTAATTTAGCAGAATAATTTTAGCTTTCATCTTCCAGTTCACTGGTCTCATTGTTTAATAATTAAGTAAACATACCAGTAAAGTGCATTTGGCTCTTGCTCCACTCATCTGAAGAAGTGGGTTGTGCCCACAAAAGCTCACGATACTATCTATATTCTTTTGTTAGCCTCTAAGGCAGGGTTGGGCAATAATTTTTAAAAGGGGGCCACTTCGGAAATTTCTGAGGTGGCCCTGGGCCACCCCGGAAGGGACAGGGACAGGAGACTTTGTGCACCCCCTCCCCCCCCCCGGATGGGGGAGTGTGAAAATTCTTCCTCCTCCTGCCCCCTAGAGAGAAATGCCAGCTGTTTTAAAACAGCTGGTAGTTCCCTCTAGGCGCCTAGCAGAAGGAGACCTCGCATGCTCTTCCTGCCCCCAGGCCAATCAGGGCCCAGGAAGCACAAAAAGTCTCCTCGTCCCTGCAAGAGCATGCAGCAGCTAGCGACACATGCCAGCAGTTTTAAAACAGCCAGCACGTCTCTCTAGTCGCTGCACACCCCAGGCAGGCTGGGGACAGGACGCGAGAAACTTTGTGCTCTCCCTGCCCGCAGGACCAGATTGCCCTGAGGGCAGGGAGTGCACAAAGCTACCCCCCCAAGGTGCGCGGCAGCTAGAGATCAACATGACTGTTTTAAAAACAGCCACCACGTCTCTCTAGCCACCTCACACTCTTGTGGGGGCAAGGAGACTACGCGTGCTCCCCCACCCCCAGGCCCTGATTGGCCTGGGGGTGAGTGAGTGGCAGGGCAGCCACAGGCCAGATCTGGCCCACGGAGGGCCCTTTGCCCACCCCTGCTCTAAGGTGCTACAGGACCACTTGTTTTGTTTTCTTTAAGTTACAGACTAACATGGTTACCCCTCAAACTTTTGGCCTTGTATGTTATTTTAGCTGCGTCAGTTTAGTACAGTGTTGAATGAGTCAGCTCACTACACAATTTTTTTTGTGACTTTGATGTTTACCTTCACCCATTTGGTTGGAAATTAAGCAGGGTGTACATTTCTAGTATTAACTAGGGTTGTAAATTAGTGGGTGTTAACGCCTGCGATTAACGCAGAGCGGAATTAATGCGTGAAAAAAAATTAACTCGCATTTATCTCAGGGCAGCAAATCAGCATTAGTGGATCCAGAGCCAGTCCCTAGTAAGGCGCAGTAATGCAAACCGCCACCAGAGGGCACATGGAAAAAAGGGGGGGCCAAAAAAACACCCCCCCCCCACACACACACACACACACACGCGCCTGAGTGTTTAGTATCATCTGACCTGTTCAATCTGTATGGTAATGAGCACTCCTGTTGAAATGGGGTTAATTTGCAGAGCATGATTTAGTTCAGCTCTGTGCTTGGATCTCCTCCAGTTCATCAGGGTTCTCTGAGTACTTGATCTATACCATTTTAAAACGAGTTGCTCATTTCAGGTGCCTTAATTTAGATGAGCTGTGAACAGCACTCAGTGCTTAGGAGTTGTTCACAGAGAACTTGTCAAACATGACAAGGGGAAGGGTGTTGAGGTTAAAGGGGGGAAAGTTAGCATTTCCTAGACAAGAGTTTCTGATACCTAAATCACTAACATTCTTTCCCTTTCTTTTCAGGATAAAACAAGTGCTTCATTTACTCATCCTTTTTGGAACTAGAAAACAGGTGCTCCGGTGCAGTAGCAAGGATAAATCATAAAGGACATCTTGTTTTTTGAAAGGCAATTCAGAATCTGTATCTAAAATTGTTCAATATGGGTTTGCGTAGTGAAGTGCACAATAAATTGTGTTCACACTGGAATTTGTCTGTAAACAGAATAAAGGTGATCAAACTGTTCTTGTATTACAGTATAGGCCATGGTAAGTTCCAGTTTAAGGTTGTGGTGCCTGAGAAATATACTATGTACATTACTATTGAGCAGCTTACTTTTGACATTAGCAGTTCTAGCAATAGTTGAGCACCATCTGAATGACAAAAAAACCCTAACTACCTCAATTTTGCAAAATTTTAAGACCCTAGTAAATGCAAAAGCATGGCAGTGACTGGAAGAGAGTATAACACAGTAATACACGGTACTGCAAAGAGGCATCAATACACCTACATTTAGCCCTCAACTCAGGATGCACTTGGTTGCTGGGGAAGCACTGGAAGTCAGGGATGTCGTAACTCAAACCTTCATTTATGATAGGCACTGTCAAATGCAGGCTGAGGACAATTTTTTTGGGGGAGGGGAAGGGGGTTGGCCTGGCCCAGCCCCAAAAGTGGTTGTAAATGTGGGGGCTGAGAACATGGGCGATGATATGCCAGGGGTTTCCTGTACTTGTAATTCATCTCAACTTTCAAACGGACAGTTTAAGGGTACTGTGTGTTCTGACATGGGAAGTGCTAGATTGGCATAGCTGCCAGAGTAATTCTGTTGGTGGGAGACTTTTACTGACATGCTGATGTGGACAGGGCTTAGGCATGTTGCTCCAGGTGGTTTTTCACATGGTGGAAGGATGCAAGTGAGCCTTGTTTTCAGCTGTTTTTTGGAGGAGTTCACTGGCATTTCATGCTTATCACCAGGGCTCGCCCAACAGCAGCAAGCCCTGCTTGCTAGCCATGCTGTCCAGCGAGCTGCACAAGCGCAGATCGTTCTGCGCATATGCAGATTACCTGAACCCAGCTGTCGAGCCCTGCTTATCACTGTATCTGCTGTGGTGATAGGCTCATAGACTATGTCTAGACTGGCATGATTTTCCAGAAATGCTTTTAACGGAAAAGTTTTCCGTTAAAAGCATTTTCGGAACAGAGCGTCTCGATTGGCATGGACGCTTTTGTGGAAAAGCGTCCCTGGCCAATCTAGACGTGCTTTTCCGCAAAAAAGCCCCGATCGCCATTTTCGCATTCGGGGCTTTTTTGCGCAAAACAAATCTCAGCGGTTGGGAATTTTGCCCGAACGGGAGCAGCATAGTATTTCCACAAAAAGCACTGATTTCTTACAGTAGGAAGTCAGTGCTTTTGCAGAAATTCAAGCGGCCAGTGTAGACAGCTGGCAAGTTTTTCCGGAAAAGCGGCTGATTTTCTGGAAAAACTGGCCAGTCTAGACACAGCCACTATGTATTAACAGATGAAAACCGGCTCTTTCCATTTAATTATTTCACTCACACCACAAGTGGCAGGTGTTTTTATTTAAAATTGTAGCATTTACACGTAAATTAAGATTTTCAAAGTCGTCCAGAGTATTTAGACGTAGATCTTCCTTTAACTAAGTAGACCCTACCTGTAAGGAAAGAGTTGTGTCTAAATACTGTAGGCTGTCTTGATGACAGGGTCTGATTCGAAGCCCATTTTAATCAATTCTTTCCACTGAAGTCAATGGTATCTTTGGTATCAGGCTGACTCTGCCAGCTTGTCCTTATTGGATATGGATAGTAAGATACAGAGTTGAAGCACATGCCAGCACGCCGCCCTGATGTATTTTTTCATATGAACCGGACTTTACTAGCTACGTTACAGGCACACACAGGCCTGGTGATGAAGGGAAAACGGAGGCACAGCAATAGCAGTGCTAAGGCAGAAGTGGGGGTGTCGTATTCTGGACAGTGCTGAGGGCTGGCTGCTCCCAGCCCTGCCCCTTCCACCTTTGCCCCCCCCTTCCAGGAGCGAGAAGCCGGTCTCTCCCCCACCTTGCCTGGGGACCCATGGAGGCTGTTAGCTCCACAGGGCACACAAGCTCTTAGCAATGGCAGGCTGCCAGGCAAACGAATAATTAGGTGGCTATAACCACTTTGATATCTTCAGTGAGCTCACCACTGGAAAGAGAGCGTGTACCTCTGTGTGGAGGGAATTGTGAGGAGAGGTTGGTTTTGGGCAAGGGTGTACAGGTGGCTTAAAGCATCTCCCCCCCCCCCTTAAAGCTAGGACTTTTAAAATGCATGGCACAAAATCTCACTCATTATCATTTTTTCTTTTAATTACATTTTTCCATGAAGTCTCACACATCCCCAACTCTCAGAACAATCAAAGCTCAACTCTTATCTAGTTTTAATAATTGTTTCTAAAAATTGGATTTAATTAGCCATGGCGCTATGCCGATTGATATTTTGTGGCTAGGAAATTCTGAATTAAATTAGGCAAAAACAAGTTTTCCAAACAGTTCCAACCTCTTTTTAGTTTTGGAACGTCAATCCAGCAGCACGATATTCTGGGAATGTCTTGCAGCTACTGGAACAAACAAATTTCATGAGGTGTTTTGGAATGCCCAATAGGAATTTATAGTACTATATACCTACACCTAATTTGGGATTTTGTGTTCTGTTCTTTTGCCTATTGCATTAGAAGAGATGTGAGTGACTCAAATCTCATGAAGCTCATGTGTAAATTCATGAAAGCCAATCTAATCCCATGAGTTGTCATCTTGAAATAGTTCTTCCTTAGGTAGGCACCTTATATGAGAGCAGCCTCTGCCTTTGGTATATATGGTTGTGACTGTTTTCTTCCACTATTTGATCTGAGGAAGTGGGTCTGGCCCACGAAAGCTCATCACCTAATAAACCATCTTGTTAGTCTTTAAAGTGCTACATAGTCCTGTATTTTGTTTTAGTTAAACTCCTAATCAAGTTTGGTTTTAGAAGTCAACAACAAAAAGGTGATGGAGTTTCCCAAATATGTATAAAAATATTTTTTTTAAAAACCCAATATATATGCTTTTCCCAAGTCTCGGTGTGTCTGGCTTGATTGAAAAATTGAATTAAAAGACAAATTATATACCATACATGAAGTGAATATGGCACGTTAATGTCTAAAACACGCCAAAGTTCACCTTTGCAGAATAACCAATTGAAAAGTTAGCATGCAATTAATTTTTCCACATCATAAGTAGAACTAGTGTAAGCAAAATAGTTTAAGGAATAACCCTGTTCAACATTTTTATTTTTTTTATATAACACACAATTCTCATTTGCTCAATGTGTGAAAAGTCTGAAAATCATTTTATACTTACAAAAGATATACATGCTGCCAACAATAAGATTCTAACTAATAAGTCTTCAAATTGTTCAAGCACAAGCTCAAGTAAGGATTTTCCTGTAAGATACAAGAGGCAGACATGTTGCACTTTAAATTTACACAGAAAGAGGCAAAGTTATGGATAAGAAACATCAGAAGATTGTACAAGCTGGCTTACCTTCTTCAGCAGGTAATTCTGCAGGAAGCATAGGTTTTCCCAAGGAGCATGTAAAAAAAAGACTGTTAGATAACTACTTAGCCACGACAAAACATCCATCATTAAAGATTATTTTTAGCTAGCTAAAATGTTACAAAACTACATTTACCAGATTTTTTTATATATCTATATGAAGTTCAGATTTGAAGGCAATGCTGAATATTATAATTAAGGTGCCTCCTTTCAACAAGAACTGGAATGGGCCTTGCTAATTCTGCAATTTATGCCAAATACATTTTAGCAGTGATCTAATAAGGTAACAATTCAGCCAAGTCATCATTCATGCTTACTATGTTACTTCTGATACCCTTTGTATTCAGCAGTCACAGGCTTCTGTGTACTGCTGGAGTTTGATTTCCCTCCACATCCACTTTACCAAAGTCTAAGATGCATGTCCAAATACCTCACGATCTCATCTTTCTATTTAGGAACTGCTGTCTCCCCACCTGCTATTACCTCTCTATATAAATCGGTTCTGCAATACAATTGGCACAAAAGAAAGCTATAAAAATAAAGCCCTGCTGCACTGTTTTCTGAACATTTTAACAAACACACACACACACACACACACACACACACACACACACCCCCCTCCTCCTAAAAGGAAAAGAACGACGTTTGGCTGGGAGCGTTGGGAACCGCAAAGAAAATGAAGGTCATTACAGGATAAAAGGAGGCACACACAAAAAAGCGTGTGCTTTATTTAAGGATAGAAGCGGATTTCCCAACAAGGTGAAAGGAAACCGAGGTGGCACCCTCCACGCTGAAGCAACCCGGAGCGCCCAGGGTATAAAAGAAACCCACGAGGTGGAGTTCAAGTCAGCCATCTTCTCTCTCCCTCGCTCCTATTCCGGGTCCTGAGTCAGATGCCGGCATCGCACACACAGGTTAGGCCTTGCAACAGGGCCCTAAGGAGGATGAGAGGGAGAAAGAGGCTCCCACCACGCGGCGGCAGCGTCCCCCCCGCAGCGGACGGGGCGGGGGTCCCCCACCGTCGGG